ATACGCAGATGTGAAAAGACACCTACAAAGGTGCCAGCAAGATAAAAACAACCACAAGGACTTGCTTTTGATGAAGCAGGAGAATTGAAATCGAAAGATCAATAAAAGGGAAAGTGCAATGCAAAGAGGAAAGTCAAAACTTCGTGAGTATACTTATTGTCGTTATCGACTCAGACAAAGAAAACTCCGATTCACAGGCCTTCTTGCTCATCTACACCCCCACCCTCCCCAGCAGCTTCACGATGTGCTCGGACGCTTGCCTCCGCACAGCCTTTACTTGCTCCTCACCGCCAACGAGCCATCGGTCCCTTGGCAAGATGCGGCTGTAGTTGTCCGAGATGGTGCTCGCAAGCATCGCATAGCTAAGCATCAACTCCCTGCTCACCTTGTGCATCGCCTTCCGGCGCCTCCGGGTAAGAATGGTGAGACCGCTGTTGGACATGTCGGCCAGAAGGTGTGGGGCGTAGTCGAGGCGAGGACGCACACAAAGCTTGACTCTGGCAGCAAAATTCTCGTAAGACACGCTGGTGTGATTGCAGAGTCTGATGAAATCCAGAAAGCTAAGGAAGACATCAACATGCAGGGAAGTGCGGCGGAGACTGGGCCTCAGGTCCCCGACGGCGTCTCGGAGGATGAGGGAGAACATGGCCGAGAAGGGCACGTCGTCGTCGGGCAGCAACTGCAGCATGTCTGCAAGCACCCCGGTGCTCAGCCCCACCCCTTCTGCCTCCCACAGGCCCAGGAACTCCGCCCTCCGAAACAGCTCCCTCCATGGGCACTGGCAACCGTTTTGGACGGCCTCCCTGAAGCCCCTCTCTGCAATGAGGTCGAGCATCTGGCGCATCATGTCCTGGTACTCGGCGCTTGCCCACGAGAACAGCCTCATGTACTTGGGCACTAGCACCTTCCTCCTGTACAAGTGCATGCGCAGCTCCTCCTCGCCGGTCAAGACAAGGGCCGGGCAGGCCAAGAACGCTCCTTTGTCCTGGATGACGTCGGCAAGGACGCGGTCTGCGAGGTAGTCGGCAGCCTCATCTCGGATAGAGGCAAGCTGCTCATCATCCATGTCCAGGTCAAGCAGGTGGTACCACCAACCCCTGTCCTCGCTGGCTGACCTGTAGATGTAGTAGCACAACACCAGGGCAGGGAAGACGGCGTTGAGGCCGTCGAGCTGAAGGTCGTTGAGCATGGACAGGCCGGTGCTCCTGCACCGTCGGCGCATCACAACGATAGGAGCTTCTTCCTGCATATACTCGCTCGCTAGGCATCCAACCAGCACGGCCGCGCACGCCACGATGGGCGGAATGAGGTCCTGAGGGACGATGGGAGCGAGCATAGCGGACAGCTCAGAGACTAAGATGGAGGAGTTCGTGTCATAGCAGCTGTTGTCGTTGTTAATCGAAAGCATCATGCTAAAGTACAGGTGGTAGCGTGTTTCCTCCACGTCCTCTATCGCCCTCGCCTCCCCATTGCGCATCCCACTGGAGACCATGGTGTAACAGCCCCTCACGGAAGACAAGATGAGCCTGCCCGCGAGAGACTTGATCCTACAGCTGGCTCCTTGCAAGCTGCGCATGTGCTTGTCCATGACGCACATGATGAACTCTTGTTCGTTCCTGAACTTCGTCACGGGCATTTTTGTTTGCCCCCCACCCGACCGCCATCTTAAGAAGGCCTCTCGGACCCACCCACCTCCAATTCCCACAAACAAGGGTCGAGTCAGGGGTACAGGGGTACAGGGGTCCTGCGCCTCCCACAAACCATCGAGAACATGGCTGGGGAGCAAGATAGTCAGATGAGATTGAAGATGTTTGATATCAGATGGTTTAACTTACATGCTTGTCTAAGTTTTCATTGCTCATATCTAACGACTGAGTATTTCAACACATGCTTACTTCACATACAGACGATTATCAAGTGAAATGAGTATGTAATGAAAGATTTACACGTCTTGTTGTCCAACACATGCTTACTTCACATACAGACGATTATCAAGTGAAATGGGTATGTAATGAAAGATTTACACGTCTTGTTGTCCATCTTTCTTAGTTATTGCATCCATCGTTAGATCATGGAATTGAGGACGTATATGTTGTGGGTCAGTATTCATGCACCTCAGATCACTTGTGATGTTTCATTAAGACCTCACGATAACATGTTTCAAAAATAATTTCAAACTCAAAAATAACATGAATCTTCGCAGCGGGAAATGACTGCACACTCCCAGACCCAACGCGAGAAAGTGCAGGGCCCCTGAGCCCTGCTCCATGGCTAAGAAGAGAGGAACAGGAGAGGCAGGAGCAGGACGTGGCGAGCATCGCTCTCCTTGCTTCAATCTCCCTCGACCAACTCGTCGAGCGCAGCCATAGCTCTTTTCCAGTACAGACCAGGTGCTGCCTGCCCTAAGGTAGCTACCGTGTCCTTCTCTCGTTCGATGACCTCCTGCTCAGGGCCTTGAGTATGCTCAACCTCTCCCCGCAAGTATCCTCACCTTTAGCGTCCTCCTCAGCCTGGAAGAGTGCGGGCAGTAGACTGTCTCCTCCTCCTGCTGATCAAGGCCATTGTGCCTGAAGTCTATGTCTGTGGACGTACCAACTTGCCTTGAAGGATCACCTTTGACATGATGAGAGGAGTTGAAGACGTTGGAGTAGATCGAATGATCAGTGTTCAACAACACCAGCCAGGAAACAGCATCTGGTCCGTGCATGTAAAGTCATAGAAATTGATACGCAGATGTGAAAAGACACCTACAAAGGTGCCAGCAAGATAAAAACAACCACAAGGACTTGCTTTTGATGAAGCAGGAGAATTGAAATCGAAAGATCAATAAAAGGGAAAGTGCAATGCAAAGAGGAAAGTCAAAACTTCGTGAGTATACTTTATTGTCGTAATCGACTCAGACAAAGAAAACTCCGATCCACAGGCCTTCTTGCTCATCTACACCCCCACCCTCCCCAGCAGCTTCACGATGTGCTCGGACGCTTGCCTCCGCACAGCCTTTACTTGCTCCTCACCGCCAACGAGCCATCGGTCCCTTGGCAAGATGCGGCTGTAGTTGTCCGAGATGGTGCTCGCAAGCATCGCATAGCCAAGCATCAACTCCCTGCTCACCTTGTGCATCGCCTTCCGGCGCCTCCGGGTAAGAATGGTGAGACCGCTGTTGGACATGTCGGCCAGAAGGTGTGGGGCGTAGTCGAGGCGAGGACGCACACAAAGCTTGACTCTGGCAGCAAAATTCTCGTAAGACACGCTGGTGTGATTGCAGAGTCTGATGAAATCCAGAAAGCTAAGGAAGACATCAACATGCAGGGAAGTGCGGCGGAGACTGGGCCTCAGGTCCCCGACGGCGTCTCGGAGGATGAGGGAGAACATGGCCGAGAAGGGCACGTCGTCGTCGGGCAGCAACTGCAGCATGTCTGCAAGCACCCCGGTGCTCAGCCCCACCCCTTCTGCCTCCCACAGGCCCAGGAACTCCGCCCTCCGAAACAGCTCCCTCCATGGGCACTGGCAACCGTTTTGGACGGCCTCCCTGAAGCCCCTCTCTGCAATGAGGTCGAGCATCTGGCGCATCATGTCCTGGTACTCGGCGCTTGCCCACGAGAACAGCCTCATGTACTTGGGCACTAGCACCTTCCTCCTGTACAAGTGCATGCGCAGCTCCTCCTCGCCGGTCAAGACAAGGGCCGGGCAGGCCAAGAACGCTCCTTTGTCCTGGATGACGTCGGCAAGGACGCGGTCTGCGAGGTAGTCGGCAGCCTCATCTCGGATAGAGGCAAGCTGCTCATCATCCATGTCCAGGTCAAGCAGGTGGTACCACCAACCCCTGTCCTCGCTGGCTGACCTGTAGATGTAGTAGCACAACACCAGGGCAGGGAAGACGGCGTTGAGGCCGTCGAGCTGAAGGTCGTTGAGCATGGACAGGCCGGTGCTCCTGCACCG